TTAAGCTACCTCTTTGGAAGATACTGCCCTAATGCATTAGGGAACAGGAGGAGAATTATTCAGAGAGATCCCTTGATTGATCTTCACGAGAGTACCTAATTTGAATAAAACACAATATTATCTGTTTTTGCCTTCATCTTTGCTTCATTTCCCTCTTGGAGTCCTGAAACAAATATATTTTGAAAATAGTAATTAAGCATGTGTGGTGGTTAAGTTTGTGTGTTAACTTGGCTGAGACTAGTTGAGTGGCTGAGCAACTAAATGTAGTTATTCCCCATGGTGATATTGGTAATTAACTCCATGGTGGAATCTACTATGAGAACTGAGTAGCTTCTTTGGGAATGGTCTCTAGCTTATGACACTCTTGAACTCTGCATGTAGCCACGTTGTTGTTCAGCAGCCTGCCGTGCTCTGCCGATCTTGGGACTTTTAATGGACTTGAATTAAGGGCCTGCTGTGTGGTTTGATAATATCAGGACTGTGCCTTTTTATTTGTCAACCTTGGGTTTGTCAGCCTCAGCAGCAGCTGAGTGAAGAAAAGCCTCCAGCTTCAGTGGGCTGGGAGCAGGAGATAGAGCTGAAGCACAAGGTTGAGGGGCTTTCATCCAGCCCCTAGAGCCTGACACTTTGAACTTGGACTTAAAGCCTCCAAAATTTAAGAATAAACTCCTGTTTGTTAAAGCCATCCCATTTATGGTATATTCCTGTCAGAGTGGCACTAGGTAACCAGAACAACATGTATTTATGAAAATGTTCTCTCCCTACAGTGATATAAAACACTATATGTCCCAAGAGTGTCTAAAAATCCTTCTTTTCTTACAAGTATTCACTTACAAGAAAGGAATAAGGAATTTGAATCACTTGTTTGTAATTACAGCTGATAGGTGGCCCTGTGTGATTATGCCTGTGGACATCAGGAGGAGCTACAGAAAGTTCAATGATTTGCAAAGAGAACCATGTCTCCTTCTCTTCCCTGTAGTATTCCAGCCTGCCATAATCCCTGAACTTTCTTCATGACTTCACTTATAAGACAAAGGAAATAATATTCCTTAACTCTATTCAGATCTTTAAATTGGAAGACAGGTCCCTTATCAGCACTCAACTGCAATAAATTTATTTTAGTTTCTTAAAACAGACTTAAACTGCCAGTGTAAGCCTAAAGAGAGTGAAAGTGATATAAAATAAATGTTTGTTGTCAACTTATTTTATTCTGGGTCTCCTTCAGGCATCTACACGTTAAATGTAGAATAATAAAATATCTGTACAATGAGAAAACATGATTCATAATTAGGTTCATCAAGTTTGAACTAATAATAATTCTGTTTCAATGTCTTAGTGTCTTTTAGAAACTAAATGATAAATGACTTAAAATTGTGTAGTATATTTGAATTATAGAATTTAAGAGTATTATCTATGTCATCATATAATTAATTGTGACACAATCCTCAGAGAGAAAATTGTTATGTACATCTATATCTGCAACTAACTTGGTTTAAAGTTACATGTTCTGTTAGGTGCAATCATTATAGAAAATAAGATAGTCTTTTGATGGTGTTTATTGTATTGCATGATTTGAAACCAGGAACAGAGTATGTCAGGCTTGTAACCTTTCACCATACTTACTCAATCTGGATGCTGAACAAATAATCCCAGAAGCTGGACTATATGAATAACATGGCATCACGATTGGAGGAAGACTCATTAACAACCTGTGATACACTGATGATAAAACTTTCCCTACTGAAAGTGAGGATGACTTGAAGTATTTACTGATGAAGTTTAAAACTTTAGTCTGCAGTATGGATTACATCTCAACATAAGAAAACAAAAATCCTCACAACTGGACCGATAAGCAGCATCACGATAAATGGAGAAAAGATCAAAGTTGTTAAAGATTTCATATTACTTGATTTCACAATCAACACCAATGGAACCAGCAGTCAAGACATCAGATGACATACTGCACTGGGCAAATCTACTACAAAAGACCTGTTTAAAGTTCTGAAGAGCAAAAATATCTTCTTGGAGACTAAGGTGCAGCTAACTCAAGCCATGGTATTTTCAGTCACCTCATATGCATACGAGAGCTGCACAATGAATAAGGAAGACCAAAGAAAAGTTCATGCTTTTGAGTTGTGGTTTTGGAGAATACTAGAAGTACCATGGATTGACAAAGGAACAAACAAATGTGTCCTGGAAGAAGTAGAGCTGGAGTGCTCCTTGGAAGTGAGAATGGCCAGATTTCTTCTCACCTACTTTGGTCATGTTGTCAGAAGGGACCATTCCTTGGAGAAGGATATTTTGGCAAAGTGGAGGGTCAACAAGAAAGGGGAGGACCCTCAGGGAGATGGATTGACACAGTGGCTGCAACAACAGGCTCAGATATTGCAAGGATGGTGAGACTTGCACAGGCCTGGGCAGTGTTTTGTTCTATTTCCCATGGGGTTACTATGTTGAAGCTGCCTCAACGGCACCTAACAACAACATTGTATTGACAGTC